TCACCCCTACTTTTGTTCTTTTTCTGTCCCATCATTTTTCTAATATAATTGTGTGGCATCAGCCTGCTCTATCCCTGTTAGACTTCCCTTGGCTGTGGTGGCTGGCTGGGAGGCCCTGAGACCTTCCCAGGTTGGTCTCGTCTTTATGCGTATATTGAGGTATTTTCCCTGCAAAGTCTTCATTCTTTAATTGTTAGCATTAATTTTTCTTGCTCCTTGATGAGTGTTCCTGAAAACCTCAGTCGCATCAAAATGCACTGGTTGGAAAGGGCTGTCGCCCTGCCATCCCTGAGCCCCCTGCCCCCACCACTGTTCCTCTGTCTGCTTAGAGATGGATGTTCCTTTATTGCCTATAAATCTCTGCACAGCCCTTTGAGAAGACAGATCAGAGGCCTACTGTTCCCTGAGGTTTGTGGGCTGTGGGTTTAATTAGCTTACCCCGCAGAAAAGAGGCTGTTGCAGGGGTCTGGGGAAGGGCCCTTCTCACACCTGTGCTTTGTCTGGGGGGGGGGGCCAAGAATGGGGTCCATTCAGGGATAGGAAACATCTTCCCTGATGCATCTATGTGTGGATTCAACACGCCAAATCAGGTAACTGTCATTTCTTGCCCAGAGAGTCATGCTGGGGACCCTAACTACAATCCCAGGAAGGAGGCTCATAGCTCTACTCAGCCCAAAGTAGATACCTCAGTAATTCATGTAACTGGTAGACACCAGGATGAACGAGCCCGTCCCTCCTCACCCAGGCCAGAGTGTGAAGAAGCCTCCACCTAATCCAGTCACACACCTTAACTAAGAGCCCTCACGAGATGGTGTGGTAGTAAGACCTCTTCCAGTCCCTCTGTTGGGGACTATCCTCTTGGGAACTTGTAAACCCTGAGCTGGATCACTGTCACAGCAGCTTCACGTACAGCATGACTTCTTCTATGAGGGTTTAGGTATTTTGCATGACAGGCAGGAAAATCACGAGCCAGAGAGTGACCTCTGAGATTTATGGTGACCTGCCCTAGGCCAGATTCCTACTCCAGACTTCCCCAAGCCTGGTTGTGCCTCGTCTGGGCTCTATGGATCCATCCTGTGACCACCCAGCTTGGTGGGAATCAGCTTGGAGGGATCCTGGGGGCTTCTCAAAGGAGGGGTTCTTGTCAGAAGTGAAGTATTAGAAGGATGAGAACCAAATAGAAAAGAAGACGATCTGGAGGCATTTGCAGCTGGGAGCTGGGGTGGGCAGCAGCAGGGAGAAATGCAGTAGGATCTCTGGACTCACTTAGGATTCCAACCTTGTCACCTGGGGAGGGCAGCTTCCAGAACACTGGTGGCCAATGGCTCCGGTGTTATTCCCTCTGTCTGCCCACTTTCTGGGTGGGAGTCCTGCCAAGCCCTTGGGGTGTCTTCCAGAGCTCCAGGACAATCTCAGACCAGTGCAGGGTAGGAAAACAGGGAGTTAGGTGTGAGGAAGGACAAAGAGCAGGGTAGCAAGTGGTACCAGGGCCCAGACAAGTTGTGCTGAGGACAATGACTCCTTGGGGAGGTAGAGACCCAAAGACTACCTGACCAGGGGAGAGACTGACACCGAGTGTCACATCCCAGCACCTGGGGGAGGAACCCAGGACGACAAGGGAGCCACATGCCAACCACCCAGTACTCTCCAGCAGTCATGTTGTCAGTTCATGTGTCTGAACAAGCCACAACTCTGATCTGCCCAGACATGCCCCACACCTGCTTCACCTTAGGGTCCTTGTTTGCATACTGGGGGCCTTAGCAGCAGTTTCCTAAGAGAACACGAGTGAGAGTCGTGTCAGCCAAGTGCTGGTGACTTGGGCGGTGCCCTGTTGTGAGGAGGGGTGATTGTGGGCCCTGCACCCAACAAGCATACATTACTTCCCTGTAAACACATTTCTGGCATGTTTTTGGTCTCACTGGACGTTGGTCTACCTTCAGCTACTGAACATTCTGCTGCTTCTATTATTTCAGAACTAATTTAAGGATTAAAAATAATTCTTCCAATTATAATGCTCCTGGTAGCTAGATAAACAAGGTTGGGTACTCCTGTCCGAGGACCTGGGCCAGCCACACAACCCCTGGGTGAATGGCAGTTTGGGGTAGCCTCAGGGTCCCCTTTATTCCCAGAGAACAGCAGTCATCCCAAGGATCAGGACTGACTGAGAGTAACCTTGGGAAGTAATGCCAAGCTTAACATCCTGGGAGAGCCATTCCCCTGCCCCATTCACCCAGGGGTGTTGCAATCATTGTGAGCCCGTCCAGACTTCATCCTCCCGCCGTTCCACTCAGTGGTGCTCAGGGCCCAGAACAGTGGCTGGGCCAGAAGTGGGTCACGGCCCAGAACGGTAGCTGTCCTGGCATCCTTAGATAGGGTCTTCCAGCAGCCAGCATTTGGGGGATGGGTGATGTAATCAACACCAGTTCTCATGCTTTAATTAGCTTCCTGTGCAGGTGTCAGGGTCCAGGAGACTGAGGCTGGACATCAGATTGCTACTCCTCTCAGGGAACCACTGGCTGGTGAATCAGGGTTGGGTGGGGGTAGGCAGGAGCTGAGTCCACAGCCCCTCCCAGCTCTCACCAGCACTGGTGATCTCATCTCTTCCTGGGCTGTAAATAACACCCCAACGCTCACGACTCCCAAATTGTCCACCAGCCTGTGCCCTTCTCCTGAGCTCAGCCTGCACAGCCCACGAAACACCCCCACACTCCTGGGCCTCCATAAGGGTGGCTGCTTCTCCTGGTGCCCCCTGCTGGCTGCTCAGAGCAGACACTGGAGTCCTACTTACAGGGAAACAGTGGGACCTCAGTCACAAGCCTCCTGATTGCCCCAACCTGTCCTCTCAGTCCTGGCTGGCCCTCACCCCCAAGCAGCAAGCCAGAGGGACCTTCTCAGAACATCAGAACCCATCCTTGGCTCCCTTGGGACATAGTCCTGAAGGCCTGCTGAGCCCACTGCCAAGCAGTGGAACTCCTAGCCTCTCCTTGCATGGCTGTCTCAGTTTCTCTTGGGAAGGGGAAGGAAGGGTACAGAGTCCTTCCCATGAAAGAAGGTGACGTTTCTAGTTCTGAAGATCACCAGGGAGGACCCCAGTAAGGACATTTGGGTTATTAGTCAAGTCACAGTCAGCTCAGTGTAGCTTATGGAGTCCCGGTCCCAACCTAGGCGAGTTGGTGGGGACAGGCTTAAAGTGCCCTGGGGGTAGACAAATACCTTTCAGTGAAGAACTGACTTGACAGTGAGCACCCTACCCTATCCTGGGAAGCATGCAAACTGAGGAGCTCAGGTGGACTTCAGCATGCAAACTGAGCAGCTCAGGTGGACTTCAAGCTCTTTGAAAATGGTTATTTGCGTTTTCCTGGGTTCCAAGAAGGTGGTAGGAGCCCAGAGGCCTCCATGTAGGGCAAGAGCCTGCAGTCTCATCTCCGAGCCCCCACCCCCACCCCAGATCTCATAGCTTGGCTGTATCTTCTTGGGCATGTCAGAGACTATTTGGGAGAAAACTGGAAAAAGAAGCTTTAGCCCACACTCCCTTTGCCCACCACCCAGGAACAGGTTGACAGACTCCTGTGCCTGGCAGTGTAGTCACAGGAGTGGGATTCCAGGGACCCCAGAAGGTGGGCCTTCAGGCACAGGGCAGCAGCAGCCCAAAACTTTGACACAAAACTCCAGAGTGGCCTCTGTGGAGGTCACTGGGGGAGAGGAGGCAGTAGGACTCCTGGGCCTAAAGGGCCCAGGGTAAGGGCCCAAGTAGGGCCTGCCTGAGCTGCCCTGCCTGAGTCTGCCCTGTTTGACTGAGCTCCGGTGCTGGCATCCACTGTGCAGAGGGGCAAACTGCCCTGCTTAGGGGGCAGGCAGTGCTGTTGGGCTGGTTTCCAAGGTTCTCCTGGACTAGATGGAGAGTATGGGAAGAGTTGGCTCAGGAAGGGTAAAGGCCAAACAAGAGAGGCGGGGATGCCTCCCCGACAGCATCCTGACTGCCCTGTGCCAGGGTAGGGATGGGTCTGGGCACCCACTGTGGGCACAGAGGAGCTGGGTGGGGGCGCCTGGGACCTGGTTGCTGAGCACATCTCCCCCGCCCCATTCCTCTGGGCTTCTGGAGCCCTGGCCGCCCCCGCTGCCATCTGGCTCCGCCAGCAGTGCTCCCCCACCTCCCTCCCCCATTTCCTTGTTTTTCCTCCCTCTTCCCCTCCCCAGGGCCCGGCCTATGTAGGTGGCAGCACCTCTCCAACACATACCTTGCCCCCTTGCCTCCTTTTCTTTTGTTTCCGAGTCCTCACCAGCCCAGGCCTGGAGAAAACACGGGTGAGCATAATTTAATCTGTGCTACATGTGCTGTTTCCGAACGCACATGCACAGGCATGTGCACACACACGTGGCTCCTGTCCTGGTGCTGTGTGTGTAGGAGTCTGGAGACCCACATGGTCTGAGCGTGGGGTGCGGCACGGGTAAGTGCACACGCCTGTGCAGGTGTGGCTGCAGGTCTGGCAGTGACTAGTGTGAGGGCTCCCCAAGCCCTGGCTGGCCCTGGAGGGAAGCAACCTGCCCCACAGCCTGGCTCTCCATCAGGGCCACCAACGAGGCTCTCAGGCTCCTCCTAAGGTCACTTTAACCCAAGTAGGAGCTGGCAGGCAGCTGGGGGTGGGGCTGGCTCTGGCAGAAGCTGGGACCTGCGGGAACCCTGTGTGGTATCAAAGCAATGTCCCCACAAAGGCAGCTTTGTCTAGCTTCCATGGGCCCAGTGTGTAGTCTTCTCCCTGGATGCCGAAATCAGCCCAGCGAGCAGGGAGGCGCACTGCTATCAGCCTTGTGGTTGCCAGCATGGGTGCTGGATGAGATGGTCTGAGTTGCACCACCTATGTGGCAAGCAATTCCATTCTCTTTTGGGGCCTCCATATGCCCATGACTGGAGCAGGGGCTGCACTACCAGGGCCTACCCCACCTTTCATCACCTCCAGCACCCCTAGCCTGTGAGGTAACAGATTAAGAAAAGAGCTCTTTATTCCATGTCATCCAATATTTTTTACACAAGTAAAATAAAATGCATATCTCTATATTTTGAGATCCGAGCGGGAGGCTGCGTTCTGGAACAAACGCTACCACCGCACCCTGTAAACATGATGGGGTGGAGATGGGAGGGGTAGGCAGGAGGTGTCAGTCAGGGAGGGCCTGGCTGCCCATCAGGGCCTGCTGCCCGACGCTGGCTGGTGGTGTGGAGGGGACCTCATATGTACACACACCTGGCCTCTGACAAAGGCTCTGAGATCTTGATGGCTGGTCAGCAGGGCCTGAGCACCGTCCACAGCACCAGCGAGACGCCCAGGGGCATGAAGCCGCAGGCGAGGCTAGGCAGGGCACTGGAGCCCTCTGCGTCGCTGGCCGCTCCGCCTCCGCTGCCTGCGTGGCCTAGACGGCACTGGCTGCGGGTGCGGTTCTTGCGAGAACAGCCTGGCCTCCTGCGTGGGCCCACGGTGGGGGGGCCTGGTGGTTCGGAGCCCTCAGGCAGCAGAGCACTCAGGGGGGGCTCAACTGAGCCAGGCAAGGTCCCAAAGGGAGAGTCATTGATGTGCCGTGGGCCGGAGCCGTTGCTGGGTGGGCTGTCACCAGATGGCACACGCCCCTTGAGTGAGTTGCCGGCTGAAGCTGGGCTCCTGCCTTCCAGCACTGAGGCCTTGTCTGCTGCATCCGGTTGGCAACACTTGGGCAGCCCCCACACCTCCTCAGCAGGCCCACCCGTCCGGATGGGACGGAAGGGCCCTGCAACCACCACACAGCCCTCCAGGTCACTGGCGGCCAGGCGCTTGAGGTCACGGCCAGCCAGGCGCAGGGGTAGGCTGCAGGGCACCTCCGATGAGGAGCCACGGAACTGTTGTAGCCAGGCCCAGAGAGGGCGTGCCCGGCAGTCACATACCCAAGGGTTGTCGTTGAGCCGCAGGTACTGCAGAGTGCGCAGCGGTGCCAGGGCCTCTGAGGGCAGTGCTGAGAGGTTGTTGGCAAATAAGTAGAGCGTCATGAGGCGGCCAAGGTCACGGAAGGCGTGTGGGTGCACATGGGCCACTCGGTTCTGGTGGAGCAGCAAGCGGTCAAGGCTGTGCAAGCCACGGAAGGCGCGCTCAGGCACACTGAGGATGCGGTTGCCATGCAGGAAGAGGTGCGTGAGGTTGCCCAGATCTCGAAAGGCGTTGTCAGGCAGAGCCTGCAGCCCATTGTCCTGCAGGTACAGGTACTGCAGGGCAGTGAGGCCATGGAACAGCCCAGGGCCCAGCTCCTGCAGGCCACAGCGGTCCAGATGCAGTGTGTGCAGGCGGCCCAGGCCACGGAATGTAGCAGGGTCCACAGCGTGTAGCTGTGCGTTGTCACTGAGGTCCAGCTGCTCAAGGAGGGCCAGGCCAGCAAAGGCGGCAGCATCGATTCGGGCCAGCACATTTGAGTGCAGCCACAGGATGGTGAGGTTGCGGCAGGCACGGAAGCCCCCAGCTGGCACATGTGCAATGCGGTTGCCATGCAGGAAAACACGCTGGCTGGCGGCTGGGATGTCAATGGGCACGGTCTGAAGGCCCTGCTGTGGGCAGCTTGTTGTCACCTTGGGCTCATTGTAGCACACACAGGCTCTGGGGCATGGTGCTGCCACTCTCCATGCCTGTAGCCACAGCACCCAGGCCAGCAGCTGGCTCCCTGTAGGCAGAGTAGGGGAGAGGTTAACAGGCTCAGGACCTTCAAAGTTGGGGTTTTTGCTGGAGTCAGGTGGCCCCTGGGATTGGACCTGGGGCAACCCCAGGATGTACTGTTACCCTAAGAGTTCAGGAACTATGATTCTAGCTCCACTGCCATGTGACAGCCACTGCACACAAAGTGGAACCCAGGGGAGTCCACAAGAAGTGCTCCACACCCGGAAGCTTCGTGCACAGATTCAACACACACACAAACACATGCACTGACATGTCCACGCTGCCCTCAGCACTTGGTTAGCTGGATCACCACCCGGGCCTGCTTTTAAGGCCTTCTGGAATGGAGATTCATACTTGTAGACACCCTCTCAGGACTCCAATGCATACAGTCGGCTGGGACTGGCCCCTGTCCCTTCTGTCTTAATACTGTCCCTGGATCGTCCCCTGCCCATCAGCTTACAGGCCAGGTTAGTCAGCCAGCGTGTGACAAATACTCAAGGACCAGGCTGGCTAAGCTGATGCAGAGGAGCCTGCTAGGCTTTGGCAGTGCTCATTGTGAAGGCTCTCCCAGACTGCTGGAGGGGAGGTGCTGTTTGCTTACCCCTGTATCCTCCCAGGTCGTCTTGAGGCCCCAGGACTGCCTAGACAACCACGGGGAGTTGTACTTTAAAGAGGAACCTGCATGGGTCTGGAGGAGATAGAAGAGGAGACCTTCTTCCAGGCTTCTGAGTGCTTGCCAGCATGATTAGGAAACAGACCAAGGTCCCAAATCAAGATCCAGAGTTGCCAACTATCACGGGATCAGGAATTTGGATGCCTGGTAGGAGATGGGCAGGCAGGTACAGGGCTCGGAAGAGTGTCAGCCCTGGACAGTGTGACCCTCCAGGCAGGTGCCCCCTCTTCTACATGGCCTCCTTGTGACTGCCGTCAGTGCTCCCCGACTTGGCACTGGACACCTCCTGAGGCCCCTTCCCCTGCTTTTCTCCCAGGTTGATTCACTTCTTCCCAGACAATCAGTCCCTGCAGAGTTCACAGTCCTCACCCCTCTGCTCTATATGTACTCCCGGCTGGGACAGGTGCCTGGTGGGGAGTCCCCACTAGGCCATTGCTTAGGTGGTTCTGCCCCAACCCCACACGTCTCCTCTCCCATCTGTTGGGGCCAGACACAGCTGGTTCTGGCCAAAGACCAGGTCAGAGACCCTTTCTGGAGCACTGTCTCCAGTCCTTTTTTCACCAGCAAGTCCACACACTCCAATACTAACCTCATTGCTTATCACTGCATACTATTAGTATGCCATCAAATGCCAAAGGTTCTTTCCACCTTCACTAAAATGTGAACCTCCTAGGAGAGTTATGGCTTATCAACTAACACTTGAGTTATCAGCTACCACCTTCATTGACAGCTAACACCTGCAATGACAGCTAACACCTTCCTTGGCAGCTAGCTAAGAATGGGATTCTGCAGATATGAGGCAGCCTAAGTGCTTAGGTTGGGGGTAATGCCAGGGGGAAGGAGAGGACCATGGGCCAGCTTCCCCTCTACCAGAACCATATATTTGGGGTTCCCTTCCATGTTAGGGCCCCTCTCACACTGGATACTCTCTGGGCCAATAAAGAAGGAGGCTGGGCTGGGGGTCCCCTGAGCCCAGAGTGCCCCTCCCTGGGCTGGATGTGCATGGGAGGTTGTGAGGCATTCCCTGGCCTGCAGTTCTATTTAAACTGCTGACATCTCTCCTGCAATCTCCTTCTGGGGCCTCCTTAGGAAAGTTGGGCCTGATTATAACATCTCCCACCAGTATCTCACCTGTGGTCACAGTTTGTAACTGTTCTGCAATGAAAACAGCACTTCTTATCTCAAAGACCCCAGTAGCAGAGGAAGACCTAGGGTTAGCTGGGATCAGGGCCACACCAGGTCAAGCTCTGGATCTCTCCACCAGAAGTAGGTCATGTCACCAATCATACTATGTCATGGATCAAGCCACTCCACAGTGTTGTCACAACCCACCAATTGTGACCAGACCTGTTGCAGCACTGATTGAGGCAAATCACCACCACAGCCTAAGAGCTGGTTCACAGCTCTAAAGCGGTGGCCTGCAAGCCTGGTTGGTGATGGGTTTACCTGGCTTCATCAGAACTCCTTGGCTCCTCCAGCCTCCAGTATTCCTCAACTTGTGTCCACAGGAGGCCGTGAGTTCCAATCTTGGGGAACCCATGGCTAAGGCTATATGCCCCAAGCAAGGCTCCAAGCCTGAGGCCCTCCATGGGAGTGAGTGGCAGGATGGCTACATGGCATAGTCCTGCAAGGAAGCAGGCTCAGGGTGCAAAGACACAGCTCCCTTCCTGCTGAGTCAAACTGCTTTTCAGAAACCAACTTCTGAGGGTTGGTCCCTGTGCACTGGCCCTGCCGTCAGTATAGTGGCTGGTGGTGGGCTCTTTTCCTGCTGCAACCACAGTAATTGGCTCCAGCATGGCCCCCCTTGGGGCCTGGCCGCTGGTCTCCATGGCAACCCCTTCACTGAGCAAGCAGAGAGGGCATCTTTTTCCATGAGATAATCAAGCTCAACTTTGTGGCCTGGGTGCATATTCACAGTGGGGCACCTGGGATATGAAGACCCCTCTATATAGTGGATGTCCCACTCTCTTGACACTCCCAGGTCCCACCTCCCCAACCTCATTGGGTCCCAGTTCTGAGTGGCAATCAGTGTGAGCTTGCCTCTAGGCACATATGGTAAGAAAACAGTCCTCCCTTGGCCAACCTGGCTTGCACATAGGGAAACCACTGTGAGGTGTGTCCACTGAGGCTCCTGAAGCCATAGTGGTCCCATGCAGGGCTGCCTGGGCATTGCTATCCCACCGGCTCTGATGCTGATTCCAGCTGCCATTGAGGGAGAATCACCAGCCCCTGCCTGGGGATTGGGGGACAGTCACCGGAATTCAATCCAGGTCTCTCCCACCAGACAGACTGACAGTGCAGGAATGAGAGCTGATGAGGCCTCAGAGCCAAAGGCCTAGCTGGGGGAAGTGGGGGGCATAAGCTCTGGGGGTGGCCAACAGGGCACCTGCACTGCTAATCCTGTGCAGCAAAGGACCCAGATTCCCTTTCAGGGACACGAAGGGTGGGAAGGGGGGGGGGGGGGTGAAGAAGGTTGAGGGAGGAGGAAAGAGAAGGAGAAGGGAAGGGAGCCAGGAGGGGTGGGAGGCTTCTGGGGACTCACCCAGGAGCCACCAGAGCTAGCAGGCAGCTGCTCTGGTCAGCAGCAGGAGCAGGAACTGCCTCAGGCTGCAGGAGCAGGGGATGTCTTTGGTATATTCCCTGGCCCCTGTGGCAATCAGGGTCCCCCACTGTGGGCTGACATTTGTGGAGAGCTTGTTCCTAGAGGTCAAATAGAGAAACCTCTTTCCCACCTGAGGAGGCTGCAGAATAATGCCCTGGAGGCTCAGAGCACCACCTCAGCCTCCCTGGGCCTTAATGCTTCCCAGCTTCAAGAGGGTGGCAGAGACAGTTATGCCCAGGGAGCATAACAAGGGTTCACCAGATGGTATAGAAAATGTAAGTCAAAGCTGTGTGAGAATCCATTTCCTTTCCAATGTCACAAGCCTGTTTTACAAATTAGGAAACTAAGGCATATTTATTTAGTCTTGCTCTGTTGCTACCTCAAGAAGGTGCATGAGCTAAGGAGCTACAGTGCTGCTCAGACCCTTCCATCCATGAGGCCCATCCATCCCAAGTCTGAAGGGAGGCTGCTGTGTAGCTTGGCAAGAATGGGGCCCAGACTTGAGGCCATGAGGGTATGAGCAGGGATTGAGGACAAGGACTTTCTCTGTGCCATCAGGGACTGGGTGGTGGGGGTGGGGTAGGGAGGGCATCTCCAAGATGCTGCCCACCCCCACCCCAACCCCCAAAAGAGGGGTCAGTAAGATGTGGAGGGGGCAGCAAGCTATAGTACAGCCAGGACAATGGTCAGCTGAGGCCCCCATCTTGGCCATGAAGAACATTCCTGTGGAGAGTCACTTCACAGACCATACTTACAAAGCAGAGCAGGCCAGAGCACAGCACACCCAGGCCAGAAATAACTCCAGGTGGGGGCCAGTGGCATCTACATGCTGCTGGGGGTCAGGGCACCCTCCTTCCACCTCCCAGTGGTCCATCTGTCTTCTTCAGTCTTCACTTCTCACATTCACCACCCACCTTCCATCCGCCCACGGACCTGCACATGGAGAGCAAGCACACTGGTGCTCCCAGGCCCCTCCCCTGGCTCTAGGTATTGGGGGAAGGCGGGTGGCAGTAGCTCCTTTGCAGGCAGCACACACTTGAGGGGGCTTTGTATCTTCTAGGGGTGTGCCAACCAGTCCTGCCACTCTGGGCTACTGGAGGTCCCCACTACTTATCTTCTTAGGGGAAGATAAGTAGCTATAGGGGGAGGGCGGGTGGATCAAAAACCAGCAAGGTCACAGCCAAAGCAAGAAGGTGCGCTGAACCCAGGACTGTGGCAGTTCCAGGTCAAGCTCCCTGTGGGAGAAAACTAAGGCCCAGGATGGGTGGAGTTGCCTGAAGTCACACCATGACCTGGGTAGAGCCGGCCAGACTGGCCTCCCAACCATGCTCAGTGCACAGGTTGCCAGTCAGGAGTCTAGACCTGGAACTGGGTTCCGCTGTTTTAGGGATCATGTGCTTAACCTCTTTTACATGTGCAGGTGGCTTGGTGGGTGGAGAATGTGGCTAACTCTGCAGGACCTCAAGTGCACCTGTCTGCCCTGGCTAATGTTGTACATGGGTGAGCACACTCCCCAGTAAGGCCAACAAACAAGCCCATTACTTTGTTTCAAGTAGAAGCTACAAGAAGCCCCAGGCACAGTACAAACAAACACCCCACTCCCTGCCTCGCAAATTTCCTGTTTTTCCTTGCACATACAGACCTTACATATACCCATGGGCAGTCCTAATAAACAGACTTTGGACTCCAGACCCCAGGCTCCTGCTTCATTCTCTCGCATCTTCAAGTCTCCTACGTTTGGGTGAACATAGTGGTCAGCGCGTCCCTCAGTGGGTTAGCAACAGGAGACGTGCTTGTAGCTCGTGATACTCCCAGCACTGGGCATGACCTGTAGCAACACTGAGCAAACATGCCACGTAGTCCCTGGGCTGGGCACTGTGCTGATACAGCAGACACGGAGCCAGGATGCAGCCCCTGACTGGTGACAATGGTCCAAGAATTGACCATGGCCTACATGGTCAGTGCCATGTAGGGGATAAAAGGGACCACAGAGTCCTGAACTGACCCCAGATATTAGGGAGATGTTAGGGGAGGAGGCCATTACCAGGGGCAGGATCCTCAGTGTCAGCCCTTGGGAAGCCATCCTTGGACTCTGGAACCTCACCTTCTCTAGCTCACGCATCTCTACCCAACGTCCCTTTCCCCTAGCTCTCATTCCAGCATCTGGTGCTGAAGATGTCCAGCTCCAGGACACTGCTGTTACAGGCCACACCCTCAACTCTAGGGACTCAAACAGCTCCCCTCCCCCATGGAAGGCAGACACCCTCACCCTACTTCATCAGTTCACCAACAAACACCCAAATGCCCTCCTCAATCTGAATCATTTCTATCCTAGTTGCTACCGGCTGAGGCTAAGCATGTCCGGGGGCAGAGTGAACACCCTCATCATAGCAGATAAGCCCGAATGCCAAACTACCTGGCATCTAGCAAACTATCATGCTGGCTGCTGCCTGGGTTTCTGAATCATGTGTTATTGGTGTACCTGAGTGTCACTCTGGCTTCTTTTGTGCCACTGAAGAACAGTGGAATAGTTCTGACAGATGTGGTCCCCAGAGCTGAAATTATTCAGTATCTAGCCCTTTAGAGACAGTTTGCTGACCTAGCACACCTGATGTGTGTGGGTGTTTCTGACCTCACCCTTATTCCAGGGTGTAGGTCACTAGAGCCCTCACTTAGTGAAAAGGAAACCAAGGGAGAGATGACTGTCCTGGCTGTGGCTGGGCCAGGCCTACTTCCTCTAGTGTGGACAGGAGGTGGGAGTTGGGGAGGGAATCAGAAGAGAATGAAAATGCCATGCAGGTCAAAAGAAGAGTAATTATTTTGCTAAAGAGGCTGTCGGGAGGCTTGTAATCAAGCACATGTAAAAGAGGACAATTTAAACAACAGAACAAAACTGGTTGAAAGGAGCAGGGGGCAGCCATCCATGCTATAGGAATGTAACCATCCTCACTATAGAGAATGTCAGGGCTTCAGGGCCATGTTTCTAGGAGGCAGTTGTTTAGGGATGACTGGTGGGTTTTCTGGGGCAACAGTCCTTCCATGCCAATCCCATGACGCACTACACACTATCCACAGTGTGATCCATTTGGGCTGGGAAATGAGGACACAGTAGGTCAATTTTGATGCAATTTCTAGGACAATGATTCAGGCCTCAGCTCATGGAATCTCCCCATTTAAGAACAAAGATGTATTGACAACAGGAAGACTTGTCCTGGCAAGGAGTACAGCATCAAGTACCATGCCTCCTTGCAAAGAGTTTGTCCTGAACTATCCTGTAGCACCTCAGCTAGGATCTTAAACAAAAGTGGATTGTTGCAGAGGTCCACAGTCCAATGAACACACTAGCTATGTGTAAAGCATTTAGGTCATGGACAGTCAAGAGTTGGCCTAGGGTCCACTTGGAGCTGAACTGAAGCCCACCTAAAACTCACCTCAAGTTCACCTGAAGCTTTGTCAGCCTTACTGGAGGGCAGCAAGCCTCAAAAGCAAGAGACCATAGAAGTAATGGCCCAGAATTCCTGAACTGAGTCATGGTCTGAGGACATCCCACTCTAGCAACAGTGCCCTGAGGTTGCACAGAAGCCTCCTGGATGAGTATGTCTCCCAGGAAGGCCCTGTCAGTCCTGCTATTTCCCCAGCCTCCTGCCCAAGGAAGCTCCTGCCTGATCTCCCACAACAGTTGACATGCCTTGCTATTAACAGAACATCCAAACACATTCAATGCTTCCCTAGTTAATGAGAGCATAAAACCAGGAACCTAGAAGAGGTGCCATTGCAGACAAGATGGGAAATTACTCTAGAAGAAGCAGACAGTGTAGGGAAAATGCAGGAAAAATCTAATCAGTATCTTCAGAGGAATAGAAGAGAATTTAAAACAAGAACAGAGTGCCATGAACAAGGAACCACAAAAACAACAATGAAAGGGCTTGGAAATAAAAACTAGAAAGAACTTCTAAAATTAAAAAAAAAAAAATCAATAGAAATGTTGGACAAGGTCAAGGTAATCTTCCAGAAAGAAAAAAATTATGAAGAGGGATGAGATTCGAAAAAAATAAATATAGGTCCAACATCTGTCTTAGGAGAGTTTCAGAAAGAGAAAACAGAAAAAATAGAAGAGAAAAATATTATCAATGAAATAATTCCAGAAAATTCCCCCAGCTCTCCAGTGGACAAATCTCCACACAACAGCTAATATAATGTGATTCCAGGCTGTGGAGGCGAAGAGGGGTTGTAGCTCCCACTGGAAAATCAGCATGCTATCAGACTTCTCCACAGCACAATGGATATCAAGAGACAATAAAATTACACTGCTTCAAAATTCAGAGGGGAAACTATTTTCAACATGGCATTTGGCCAAACCAGCTTGAAGGTATTTGCTAACATTTGACAACTTGAAGAATGATGCTTTAATGGGGATGTGCTTTAGCTTAAATTAGGACATAAACTCAGAAAGAGAAAAAATTCAGGCAACATTAGGAAGGGCAACTGTGAGGGGGATACGGCACACTTGGCTCAGGTGATGACAGCAAGGTAAGGGTATGGGGTGAGATTCCCCTTGGTTAAATGAGAGACCAAGTAGAATGCTTGCATGGAGAATAAGCACTTGAGGGTGGCAGAAGGGACAAGAGAAAAAAACAAGTCAAGTGCCAACTCCAGGAAAAACAAAAGGCCAAACATAAGGAGAAAGTGACCACAGTAAGGCTGATGATGGGTTGTAAAGCATTCATCTTGGCTGGAAAATGACTGGTTATGAATTTAACTGAGGGTCACAAGAACCATGCTGGGGAGTGTGCTGGAGAATAGGAGGCTGGGGTAGGGCCCACAGAAAAGTAATAATTGCTTGGAAAACAGGAAACAGGACAATGATGGCTACATGCAAACTGATTCTTCAGGCCGATCTTTGAACAAGATATGGTGACCACAATGTTACCTCTGTAAATGTTTGCATGTTTGAAATATAGACAAATAAAAAAGGATAAAGTATATTTGCCAGAAGATGGAATGAACATAGATTAGAAAACAGTTGTTTGGTGTGCTAGAGAACATGGGACTAAGACAGCTCTTGCAGCATCATGGTGCTAGGCCTGGCCTCTGGCCCAGGGCCAGGACCTTATGCTGCACTTTAGCTTCCTGCTCAGCTGAAGATGGCCAAGGTCACCACAGGGCTCCAGGGACACTCTGGGCTCTTGGCTCCAGAGGCCTCATAAACCAGATACTGAAGGGACAGCTTCCAGCCTGAAAATCGAGCTATGCTCAGGTCTTCCACAGTCTCACCACCACTACGAAGCACACTCCTTCTTCCCCCACCAGTTACTTCTCACCTCTGCACTTTCTCAAGTTCATGTATCAGAATGCCCCACCTTCCCCAGACAAAGGACTCTCAGGAGTAGGGGGCACAGCAGGTAAACCAGGGACTACCTGCATGTGGGTCCTGGATAGCAGGGTCTGTGGTCCTTAAGGAGCACTCACACTGACCTTGGCAGGACACAGGCATTTCTTGGCTTCTATGAAAGTCCCAATCTTGTTACTGCAACTGAATCCATAGCATGCAGGCAGGGGCACCGTGAATAAGTAATTGCTCTTTTATTAACGAGTGATAAATTATTCCTATATGATTGTGTGTGATAACTCTTCCTTATTTGAAATCAATTTGGGATGAAAATTGTTGGCGGCTTCTCACCAGCACGGGTGGGAGGACCAGGCGCCGCTGCCTCCTAGAAAAGCAGGTCAGTATATTTTGGCTACTTCCTGAGGCAGATGTGAGGGAAGGGGAGGGGGGTTGTGCCTGTGCAGAAAGAGGGGTTCAGTGGGGGTAGGAAGGCACCTACTTCAGGGACCGGTGGGGAGTGAGTTAGATGCTCTTGCATGGCTTCTCTCCATCTATTGGAAGCTCAGAAAGAGGCCTGAGCCAACTCACTCCACCAGACCAGGGCCTCCTGAGACCATGAAGCCCCAAGGGGGGAGGCCCCAAAAGCTCAAGGCCAAGTTGGGGGCCACTACAGGTACCTATAAGTCATGGTTGAACTGTCAGGGCTCAGGGGGCCATTTGCAGGCCTATCCCACTCACTTCCAACCCCCAGTAACCCTGAGGTCAGGGCTAGCTTCCTTTACCCCACAGAGGACATACCCAGAACCCATCTACCTGCCAAGTGGGTCATGGATCCAATTTATCAAGTCTCAAAAAAGGCAATTTTCTTTTCCCCCCAATGATTTTACTACAACCCCACCCTTACCCCTGGCCCTCTTTCCCAGCCCAGAATGGTAGTCTCCAGTATAATCCAGACATACTTGGCCCCCCACCTAGTGCCTCTGGCAGGCTCCAAACTCCTGGTACCTCAGCCTCCTTATCTGATCTGTTAGGGAGACACAACAGTGACTCCAAAAAGCTGAAGGCCAAGTTTTGTTCATCAGGCACAGAGCAAAAAAGAGATAACTATGCTACCTGAGGGTCTCCCTCAGTGGTCCTACTGGAGCCCCAAAAGGCTAGGGGAGCCCCATGTGGATGAAGAAGAAGAGGCTTAGGTGACAGGATGCCTTCAGTCACTCCAGGCTCCACAGAGCCAATCTGCTCAGAGAGTGCCCTACAGCCAGGCCTCAAACTCTGCCCCTTAGTGCATACTTAAATCCCTGTACCCACTTGGCAGGAGGTTGGCTGATGCCCACCCAGGCTAGGCCCTGCAAGCCAATGCCCTATCCTGCTTCTTTGGAGCGGTCTCTGGCCTCCCATCTGGGCTGCAGCCGACCTGTGCGGCCAAATAACTTTTCAGGCAGGCTACTTATCCACCTTAGACTTCCCTCTGACCCTGATCTCTCAGGTCTGGGATTGTTATCTGGAATGGAGAGCTAGGTCAGAGTAGGCTGGAGCTTTGCATGCTATCTGTCTCTCTGAGGCCTCCAGTGGGTCTCATACCCTCTTGGAAACTGTGTCCTGGAAAATAGGACAAGAACATGGTGGGTACACAGGAACTGTGCTCTTCCTGTGGGAGCACTCAGAAGTTCCTTGTGTCACCCCCACCAGGGACCACCACCCCATTTCTACAGGTCAAGTCATAGGTAGAAACGGTGTGCAGGCCACTGACCTGGTGTCAGATGCTGGTCCTGGCACTCACATTGGACCCTGTGGCTCCTGGGAGCTTTTGCTCAGGGCATACCCCTGCTCTGAAATGTCTTCTGCACTCCAAGGCGCATCCCCTTGGAAAGACTTCCCAAGTGCTTCCACCCCTATCTCGCCTCGGAGGCCAGCTACTTCTCTCCCATATTGGTACCTGAGGCACTCATCTTTCAACCAAACTAGTCCTGGATTTGGCTGGTTGGGGCTGAGGGAACAGGTCAATAAGCAGAGTCAGGGGGAGCTCAGTGGGGTTCACATCCATGGGTTTCCATCTTGGGGCCTTGATCTAATGGGCCCTGTGTAAGTGAGAGGCAGGTAGGGTCTTCACTCCACCCAAATCACCGGGCAGTGTACTCTTGGTGTTGGGTGTCTTGTCATTTGGCAAGAAGTGAGCACTGTGGCCCACAGAAGACAGTAGCCCCCTCCCTACCGCTTCCACCATCCCTTAGGAGCAGGCTGTCCCCTAATGCCCCTTGTTACCTAGGTCTCCCAGGAAACCTCATGGTCCCATGGTGTGGGGGTGGGGGAATAGGCAGTCATGGTGTCAGGAAGGGCTCTCCCACCTCACTGCCTGCTGGTCACACTGGGGCCCATGGAGGCTCTAGCAGCAGGTCTGTTTAAGCCATGATGAGTCCTGTTAGTGATAACCAGTAGGTATGTAGATAGAATATTTTTATGGGAAGAATTTCTCATTTGCCAATTTTCAAATAGGTAATCAGACACTTGTCACACTGTCCCAGGTCAGCCCCTGCCTGACAAATGGGGCTAAGGCGGGGAAGACGAAAGGCCATCTGGTCATGTTTGGTGTGCAGGGCCACATGGATGGGAGCACAGAGGATCGCGTTGGTTTCCTACTGGGGCCAGGTTGGGGGACATGTCACTATCCACCTCTAAAGCTGCCACCCCAGCCTTCCTGCTAGGTTCCTTAAGTCCGTCCACCACAACTTTCTTACCTGGCTCCTATTTCCCTCCTCCTCTGCCTAGGGACCCAAAAGCTCCAACACAAGCAGTGGGCTGTCTCAAATTCTTTTGGCTTCCATTCTTGTGGGGTGTACTCATCCCCACCTTGGCCAGAAGCTCCAGTGGTTCTTTAATACCTGGGGCCAGTGAGGGGGACCCAAGTGTCAGGGTCATCACCACTCTATTGGCACCAATAGCCACTCTCTCCCTGGGACCTTGTGAGTTTGGGGATATATCCTCAGACACCCCAGATTCCTTGAAGAAGGAATATGTCACAAGAATCTAGCAGTCCTTGCTGCCCAGCATGGAAGTATCTCAAAACTAATGCTAGAATGTACCTACCAAGAGAATGCAGAAGCAAGTGACCCTCAAGAACCTGTCTGCCCCCCCCCCAACCCGCACCTGAGTGTGCATCTTGGTGAGGATAGGGACCCTGGGGAGAGGGGCATCACTCTTCAGATTGTACCTAAGAACATGTCCTCCTTGGCACTCCATCAGTCCCTAGGATGAGGGGAAAACCACCCTCAAGCAGGGGGCTGGAAGTGGGGAGGTGCAGGGTGAGGTGGGTCTGTTCCCCTGACCTTTCTCCTGATACACAGGGCAGAGAGATAGGATGCTCAGATGGCCCTAGGGTCTTGGCAGGCACCTGCAAGAATATGTACTAACCTGATCTTCGCCAAGCCCATGTCATGCTTGGTGTCATGTTTCAGGAGGTCATGCTTGGTGTCATACATGGTGTCATGCTTCAGGAGGCCTGGGAGCCAGGGAACAGAGTTGGGTAGGGGTATGACAGGGTAGCCTTTTGTCTCTGAGTGTGATGGGTGGCTGAATGGGGAGTTAGGTGTGTTTCAGGAGAGCAGGAGGCTTCAACTAGGTCATTGAGAAGTAAACAACAGAGTGTGAAGGTGGGCAGGTGGGGAACTGGGCCATGCTCTGGGAAGGGTTGGGGAGGGGGAAACACTCCTGGTTCCTGGCCAGGGTACAGTGTGGAGGCAGGTGGAGGCCAAGGGTGTTGGGTACGAGATCTCATGTGACCTTGGTCCCCACAGTTCTCCTGAAACCACTTTGACATGGTATCCATGCATCCTGGTGGCTGGTCAATATGGGTTGTCCTATGGAATTCTGCTTTCAGCCATTATCAGGGATGAGAAGTGCTCTGGGAGTAGACATCACCCTCAGAGGGCAGGTGGCTCAAACTTCTGCTCCTGGACCTCACCCTAGGACCCAAGGGCATGCAGGAACTCAGGTTGTCCCTCCCACTGCACCCTGAAGCTGGCTCAAAATGAACTGACACGGAAGGCTCCCTGCAGCTAAGGCAGAGGGACTGGGAATTCCTACCTAAGTCAGCTCGGAGTTCTTAGGAACCTGCTCAACACCCACCTGACTGGGACCACCCCCCTTTCTGCAGCCTCAGGCTCTTCGATGAGAAGTGGAGACCCCATGTGGACTCCAACTTCCCTTCAACTCCTCTGCTGCCAGGCTGAGCACTGCCCACCCCCTCCCACCATTCCACACCAGGGCTCTCCATGGCAAGAACTAAAACAACCATCACCAGTCCTCACTGCTGAAGGACTGGTGGGGAAGGGTAGGCCCAGACAGGGTTCTGCTCTTTGCTCCATGGTTTAGCAGAGGCTCCTGCTCCAGGGAGCACAGTTGGGCCCACCTGCCTTCCCTATCTGCCTGCCTAAGTTGTTATCATAGACCCATGAGAGGGAATCTGAGGAGGTGAGGACCCCTCTGCTCATAGTATCCCACTGCAGGGAGGGAAGGAAGTGTTCTGCCTGTGTGGGAGGGGTGCCAGATGCTGAGACAGAGCCAGCCCTGTGGGTCTTACTTATTGCTAACCCCCTCTTCACAAAGTCCCATGTAACAAGGAGGCTAGGAAGGTAGTAAATCGCCCAGGGGCACACTGGGTTCTGGGATAGAGCTCAGAGGGTCTCAGTTCCAGGTATCACCTGCTAAACCCTTACCCGAGAACCTCTGCCACAAGTTGGCACCTGTACTCCTCCAGATGGATGCCTTTGCTCATTTGGATCCCAGAGGAGGGCAGCCCTCTCGTGGTATCTCAGGTAACTGTCTTCTGGCTCATGGCTAACAGTCAGCCCCAAGGGTTATCTTCTGCCCTTCTGGGAGCTAACTCAGGATACTTACCATGAGGCTGCCCCTCATACCCTAAGCCAGGCCTGGGCTGGACTCAGAAATGTGGAAATAGGGAGGCAGACACGGGTGTTTTTGCCCCATACTGGGATAAAGGAGCCAGGGCTTTCCCTAGAGAAAGTAGAAGGGAACCCCATTGCCAGGCCCTAAAAACAAAGGGGCTTGAGACTTACCTGGGGTTAGACATGGGGATTTTAGGCAGGGGGGGGGACCTAAACATCTCAGAACCTGTTTACAGGTGGTGAGTAGGGAGCCTGGTAGGGGTGCGGGTGGGGGCTGGAGTGGGAGGATACATGGCTGTGGGCCTGGCTGTAAGAGACTGGGTCTGTCAGCCCTCCATGAGGCGCAAAAGGGAACAGAGAAAGACACGGACTTGCCCCTGGAGATGGGAGGAAGAAAGAGGTCAGGATCCCGAACCTTAGGCCCTGACACTGGGTATGGAGGGACAGGTAGTATGGGGTGATCACCAGAGGACAGGCTGAGTCTGGGGACAGATTTGCATATGGAGGGAAAGGAGATGCGAATTTGTGCGTGTGTGGGGGGGGTGTGTGGGGGGGGTGGGTAGCCTAGAAACCTGAGACACTAGCTCATCCACACTGACAGGCACACAGCAGGGATGCAGTAGACCAACAACCAAGATGCAGTGCAGTTTGGTGACAGGTCATGCTGAGGGCTCAGAGCTGGTCCTGATGGGGGTGTAAGGTTGCAACGTAGTGTAGGGGCTATAGATTCCTGGAGGGCCTTTAGCCCTCCCTACCATCCATGGGTATTTACTGCCCTTTGCTCTTGTGTATGGACCAGCCTGGAGCTGCCACCCCTACCCCCTGCCGGTGCCACACGCAGCCTGTACCCATGGAACTCAGCAGCCTCCACACTGAGGATTTGGAGCATTTTCCCACCCGTGAGGGCACTGAGCTGGGACCACCACCTCTGCCCACAGCTACAGATTACAGATGAGACCTCTGGTGACCAGGAAAGGACAAAGCTGTCCAAGGTCACACAGTGGCTGATCCAGTGGCTGCCCACACTAGAGATAGGGGGAGGGACTTCTGGCAGGTCCCTGAGCCGGTCCCATCTGGACCCTGGCAGGAGGTGAATAAAGACAACATCTTAACAAGGTCACAATGGCTGGGATAGATTGAGGACATGGCACTGGGCCCAGGCAAGCAGGGGACAATCCAAGAGGGCTCCAGGGAGAAGGTGAAGGTCCTGGAGCGCCACCTTGGCCTGAGCCCCTCAGCACTCCACACCCTTCCTCGATGGGCTCCTCACCAGCTTCAGCCTCAGCCTGACATTTCGCGTGACATTTGCTGCAAAGAAATAGAGTCATAAACCCAAAGGTTAAATTTGCACATTGCTTCACACTGCCAGAAGCGTGGCCCCCCCCACCCCCAGGTGCTGTGTGTGCAGGGTATGTGTGGGATGGCCAGCCCATGCCTGAGGTCCTTTTTGGGGCACCAAAGGTCCCCCTTCTAGGCCCTCCAAGATAGCAAAACCATAGTTTTCCAACACTGGCCCCTGGCTGGAACATTCTCTAGCACCTAAAGTGTGTGCATCACAATAAAAGGGGCTATCAGAGAGGCCCTGCCATACTGCTTACAGACCCAAGGTCTGTGCAGACCCAGACTCCTTGTTGTGAAAGAGCTCCATCAGCACCATTTAACCCAGTTTGTCCCAAATGTGACCAAAAAACTCTTGGTCAAAGGGAGAAAGGGCTCCTTGACTCACCATTAGCCTGGTTCCATGTACCAGGGCCCAAATAGGGCTCACGATGCTAACCAGGGTCCCTGGTCTCTGCCAGAGCAGCACCTCCCAACCTCCCTATGGCCCACAGCTCGGCCTTTTCACTTCACATTCTGAATTTGGCTGCCTTGTCCAGGGACAGAGGTTGGGGGCATGGCTGCAGGACAGTGCTGCCCTTGTCCCATCCTTCATCTTCCCCCAGCAGGCAAGGTCTTGAGGTCCACTTGCAGATAGGGCTGCCAGCACTGGCAGGGCCAGGGCACAGGTTACATGAAGAAGCAGAAGAGCTAGGGTGAGTGGAGGAGAGCAGCAACTGCATTAACAATTCTTAGCCTTAATTCTGATCAGTGCTGGAAGCAGATGCACTCACCACCAGCAAGAAACTCAACCCTACACCCAGGCAGAAGAGACCCTCAGAACCCAACCATAAAAGATGGGAGGGCTGGGACCAGGCCCCACCTCCAAGTCAGGGAGGGAGCATGAGACCATGCCCCCAGACCTGCTGGGCCTCTGCTGAGGACACACAGGGTATGTGCTGAAAACCTGTTATCCAGCCCCACAAACCAAGGTCCCTGTGAAAGATCGGGGGGCAGGTGGGGAAAGTAAATGACAGCACATTATTCAAGAGGGGTTTCATATACATCTTCATGCACGACAACTGCTCTAGACAAAAGGATGAAGAATATCACACAGCGCCCTCTATGGTGGGACCTGACTTGCCCCACGTGGGACCTGACTTGCCCCACTTGCATCTGTGGCCCCATAACTGCCTGGCCCCCAAAGCATTAAGTCCTATAAATCAAGGAGGGCAATGGCCACATCCTTTTGTCTGCTTCTCTCAGAGAAGGGCCTGACAGGCTAGGGAGATATGAATGAATGAACGAATGAATGAACGGATGAATGAGTCAGTGAATGAACAGGGCTTGAGTGAACAAATGTGTCTGGGACTAAGCTGCTAGGGTCAGTCAGGCCACAAGATGAGGGCCATGCAAGTTCAGAGGCCACATTTGGGGGTTGGGGGTGGGTGCTGCTGCAGATTGGGAGGGGCAGATTAGCTGCTGGCTGCTCTGGAGTCCAGGAAGCCCAGACCCTGGGTTGCCAGGGGGCCAGGAAGCCCTGATTGAGGGTCAGACGTCAGGCTCCAGGAGGTTGGCAACCAGGCAGCATGCACTCTGTTGACCTGGCACAGCCAAGAGCCAGGAATGGAATTCCAAGGCAGGGCTGGCGTAGGAGGTGGACAGTCACTCACACTTATTCCCTGACACGCTTGCGCATTTACTCATCATGAAACTCCTTTATGCTAAGTTCCCCTGACCCTTCTCCCAGTACAGACTGCGACATTTGGGCCACAGGCCTTAGCAGCAAGAAATGGAGCACTGGGGGGGGGGGGGGGGGTGGATGCCTTCTGCGCCCACCAACTGGGACCCGCTATAGCAGCTGCTATAAGGATCCATG